GACGGCACCCTGAGGAGACCCACTCTGTGGGAGCGTACCGGCCGATGGGAGGTAACCTGCGGCAGAAGGCGGTCTCGGAGATATCCAGGTCCGATGCCATGGAGCGCTTTAAAGATGAGAACCAACACCTTGAAGCGCACCCGGAAGGCACACATGCACCCACCACCCTTCTCAACCTCTCTTGGTCTTAAAAAAAAAGCTAAGAAGGGTTGAACTTAATTTATTCTCGGATGGGAGACCACCAGGTCTCAAATCCCAACTCTAAATTTAAGCTGGAAAAAAGGAGGCAATGACAAAACACTTTCCGATTGCTGCCAAAAGGTCTACATGGAGGTGACTATTAGCTAAGCTTTCTTTTCTTTTCTTTTTACCCCCTTTTAATTCCGTGCTTCAGGATGGGGGCGACTGAATGTAGCTCAGCCTTTACTGGCCGGATGCCCTTCCTGATGCCTATGTGGAGTTTGCAACAGATATTTTCTCTTTGTCCCGATAGAGTCTCTGTCGCTGCAGAGGATTGAACTCTCAACCTTCTGAGTGGGAGGTGAGTCTCTTCATCTCTAGGCCACCTGATCACTCAACTATCAACCAAGCATGAGTTAATGCAGGGGTCTTCAAACTTGGCCCTTTTATGACTTTTATGACTTCAACTCCCAGAATTCCTAAGCCAGCGTGGGGAAACTATGGCCCCTTCATGACTTGCGGACTTCAACTCCCAGAATTCCTCAGCCAGCGTGGGGGAACTATGGCCCCTTCATGACTTGCGGACTTCAACTCCCAGAATTCCTCAGCCAGCGTGGGGGAACTATGGCCCCTTCATGACTTGCGGACTTCAACTCCCAGAATTCCTCAGCCAGCATGCCTGGCTGAGGAATTCTGGGAGTTGAAGTCCACAGGTCATAAAAGGGCCAAGTTTGAAGACCCCTCAGTTAATGAATTCTTGATTTTTGCTTCCTGTGTTCATGTTACTACACTTGTTCGCTTGTTACCCTCAGAAAAGTTTTACCCGGGTTATGCCAGACTAATACACACCACGACACTTTGTTGGTATGTTCCACCTACAGGTAGTCCTCAAGTTACCACCGTTCGTTTAGTGACTGTTCAAAGTTACAACGGCACTGAAAAAAGCGACCTGTGGCGATTTTTCACACTTACGACCGTCACAGCATCGCCACGGTCACGCAATCAAAATTCAAGCGCCCAACAACTGCTTCCTATTTATGACGGTTGCAGCGTCCCTGGCGGTCAAGCAATTCGCTGTTGCGACCGTCTGACAAGCAAAGTCAGACGGGGAAATCCAGATTCGCTTAACCGCGTTACTAACTTAACACCTGCAGTTAAGATTCCCTTCACCACTGTGGCGAGAAAGATTGTAAAATGGGGGAAGAATTCGCTTAGCAACTGCCTCACTTAGCAACAGACATTTTGGGGCTCAATTGCGGTCGTAAGTCGAGAACCACCTGTAAGGATCCAACTTTCAAACAAGTGTCTGGGATCTAAAACTCCAAGCTTGGTTTTTGGATGGAGTCCTGATTTTTCTGAAGGATTCAGCTGAAAATGACCGGATTCAACTGAGATTCGCTGGCAAAGTCGAAGGTGCATGTAACA